CAGCCATACCTGTCACACACCCAGTTTAAGAGCAGTGTTTTTCTTCTTGTAATCAAGAGCGCTTGTCCTCCTAATTAAAAAAAATTAAGGAGCACCTTCTGATCAATAATCAAAAATTCTGATAAAAATTAGCCTTCCTAACATGAGGTGAAGTGATTTACAGGGGCATTTTCTTTTTACCTTTGCAATGGCATCATTTTCATCTGTAAAAGTCAAAAATGTATGTTTATAAGCTTTTTAAAATGTCTATTTAAAACAATATAATAAGAATTAGAATAAGACAAATAAGTTACCAATCATGAAATTAGTATTAATGAAAAATGTATTTGTACTAGAGGTGGCACAAAAAGAACACAAAAGTGGCTTGTAGGTATATTTTCAGACCAATGAGGCTCAGAAGTGGCATGAGTGCAATTAAATTCATAAATTCATGTGGAGATTAATCTTTTAAATAAAAATTTGAATACAGAAATATTAAATGATTTAAATAACTGCAATCATACCTAAAAATGAAACTGAAACCGCCAGCAGGTGGCGGCAAATCACGGATTTTATCACTGAATCATTCATTCAATTGATTCGTTTGAATGGCTGATTCACTCGGGAATGAAGCAAGTGACTGTCTTTATGAATGGGTAATCAAGAATCACTGACTCACTAGATTCGTTCAAAAACGCACTTTCATTCATGAATGAAACACCGCTGTGTTTGCTTTTAGAGATGTGAAGCGGCTGAGCTGTTACTTTATTTGGAACTATTTTCGTTGATGAAATAGAGCAAAATCAGGCAGTACGTGTTTATTGAACTGTTGTATTAAATATCACATTTGCAAACTCCTTGAATAATTATTAAAATCTGTCACTGTCACTTATCGCGATCTGTGGGCGCACAGAAAATGAGAGTTTCAAGACTCAAAAGTACGTGCAAATGATACGTTCCTTCATCTGTCATCGGGTTATAAGCGCAGAACCTGCGGGAATGAGTAGAATTATTATTAATAGCCGCAATCCTGTGCCTGAAATTCAAGACCTGCTCTGTGTTCTCTGCCAATAACCCGACTGTGAATGATGCGAGGCGTTATGTTGTCAGCGAGAAGCTGCAGCCGTGGCGGGGGGGATGTTTGGTGTGCTGGTGTTCTGACAAATAATGCTACCTATCAGATTATGCTACCAACAAATCGTCAGAACACCGGCAGAACAACAACGTGCTACATGTTTCTTTTCCCCTCATTTTTTCCTATTGACGGAAATCCGTCATAGCGACGGAAAACTTTCATCCCTGAGTAGTATTATGTACATCATACTGCACCACAGTAATATATTTCTGATAATTTCATTAAGCTAACCCGAATTTATATTTTGACGGGTTGCCATGAGGAACTTGTTTCTGTAGGTCTATGTAAATGATATGAAGATAGTTTTACTCCAATAAAGCAGTTCTGGAGATGTTGTTCATGTATTATGTCCTCATGTAGTGATAAGACAGAAGCTGAAATCACAGCGAGCGTCGCACACTTTGTATGTGTAGAAAACAAAACCGCTCGTCTGTGCCATTTACATACACAGAGACACGCAGAACATGCTGGATCCATATTTAAATAGTATTTTTGCGGCTTAATATTTACAGATACTAGTCCATATTGCGACTCTATTTAAGTGTACTGACCTACTTTTGATTAATTCATCCAAACTTTGACAAATTCCGTGACATTCCGCGTCATATACAATAAATTCCATGACTGGATTCCGCGATTCCGTCCACGTTTTCCACATCGCGGAAATCATAGATAATATTGAGGTGTTTTGCGACTTCAGTGCAACGTTAGTGGATTGGGATCTTTTGCAACCTAAGCAATGTCTGCTGCTGCCTTACCTTTGAGAGACAACTGATGCGTGATCACTGAAGCAGCTCCAGTTAGCAAGCGCTTTCGGAGTGAGAGTGAATTCCGCTTTGATTGGTCGGACTCATGACTCCCAACAAATCAGATGAGCGGTGGGCGGAGACTGCTTTAGGCCACAGAGTGGCGAGTTCTGACAGGCTGCATCAGAGCCAAATAGCGCGGTTCAAAATTAAGTTATTTTATCGGCGAATCGGTTTTGAAAATGACCGATACCGATAATCATAAAAATGCTTAATATCGACGCCGATAATCGGCCAGGCCGATAATCGGTCGACCCCTACTATGTGGGAAGATTTGCATAACGCCACCCAAATGTTCACGCAAAGAAAGAAGGCGTAACTTTTATTCTCGCTGTAGGTGTAATATAACCTGAACGTGTTCATGAGATTCACCCTAAATGTACTGAATTCTGAATTTATTTTTCTGTCTGGAAAAATGAAACCGATTTAGTCAGACATGGTGTTGCGAAGCTCGGAGCTTATTTACAGCGGTGCCAGAGAATCGT